CTGAAAAACAAAAGAAAAATAGCAGTCAGTGTATGTAAGCTCTATCCACGTAAACTATTTTCATTTGACCACAATAACAGCATGCAGTATGTGTTTCTCACACAGCGGTTGAAGACTCATACATTATTTACGTAATAGACGGTTCAGTTCATTATTTAGTCAATCAATAGTGATATGAATTTCCCGGTGCCTGGGGTTTGGGTTTGCTCTCAACCCACGTGGATACCCAAGTAACAATTTTGGTTTTATGAGAGTTTTGTGGACCATGATTTGGACTTGTAGAATGCTATAAAACCTCTATGAAGCTTGCACTGTTACTTGGGTAGTTGAAAGGCGGTTGACGGTTGTCCAATAGACTGATGCAAAATTTGAAATTTTCGCTCCATAGTGCTTAAACGGTTCCAAATTGAGTCCTGCTTAGCCTTCCAAAATTTGAACTACTTTAGTAAGAAACTGACTTGTCACAAACCATTTCAAGTTTATATGGGAATTACTATGGGAAAACTTATGTTTTTGTTCATATCTATCTAACAATTCACCACATTACTATGCTTTTAAAAATGATAGCAGTGATTTTAGAAAATTTTCTCAGCTACAACTTTGTTGAATATTACTTTTCAATCAAATGTAAGAAACAAAAGTTATCAATGATTCAAGTCACTGATGTCTTATGATTATGCTCAATCAACTGTTCAGCAGACAACATTGGTGTTTCTGGTGCGAAGAATGGAGCACAAATATCACGGCTACCATGTCACACTGCAGAATACAGTGTTGCCCACAGAACAGCTGCTTGATCATGCCATAATATTATCAATCTCTTTAACAATTAATAACAATTTAATTTGACATTTGGCTTCCTGTAAGAATAGTTATAGAAATTTTCAAAAAAGCAATACGGAAAATGGAAGACAATGAACAAAAAGATTGGTTTTCCCATAGTAATTTCCATATAAACTTCGAATAGTTTGTGCCAAGTCAGTTTCTTACCAAATGAGTTTAAATTTTGGGAGGCTAATCAGGACCTGATTTGAAACCGTTTGAGCACTGTGGAGCGAAAATTTCAAATTTTGCATCAGTCTATTGTCCTAGGTCCATACAAAATTTTAAAAAATATTGATAGTTGCCCTTAAAAAAAATAATAATAACCATAGAGATACAATAAAATGTATTCTTGCCCTACAATAGAATTTAAGGTGTTTAAAATAAATCATATTTTCTAGAACGGTCATATAACCATACAATGTATTATTTCATCAATAAAATCTATGGTAGATGGGAATATCTACAATAGAACGATTCTTATGTATCATAACCATACAACAATCTCAACAGCTGAGCGTTCAGTAAATAGTTCGTTGATTTTTCACAGTTTTCCCGTATTTTTCCGCGGAATGTCTTCGAAAAATTATAGGAAAACTGTGAAATTCACCGAACTGTTAACAAAACGTTCAGCTATTGAGATTTCAGTAAAATTTGACAGAAATCTATGAAATAATCTTTTTGTGTATATGAAACGTATTGTCGACCTATTGGAATAATTATATGTTCAATTTATTTATAATACATGCAAAATAGGGGCCTCCTTTAGCTCAGTCGGTAAAGGCGCAGCTACAAAGCAAGACCATGCTGGAGGTGGCTGGGTTCGATTCCCGGTCCGGTCTAGGAATTTTTCGGGTTGGAAAATTTCTCGGCTTCCCTGGGCATAGGACATGATTGTACTTGCCACACAATTATACTAATACAAAAATGGTACAGGCATCGAAAACTCTCAATTAATAACTATGGAAGTGCATCTAGAACACTAAGTTGAGAGCACGCAATAAGCTAATATGCGATAAGAAATAAGCTTGAAATGCGAAGAAGAAGAAGAAGAAGAATAAGAAGATATACATGCAATAAGATCAATTGTTGAAAATATATTTTCTTGTGATTGTATTTTATTTTATGGTAGTTATATGGTTATATTTTTCCGGGTGTTGACGCAGATAGAGAGGAAGCAAAGAAAGGAACAGCAACTTCATGCATCTGATCCAGAAAGTGTTTACTCTGAGGGCATCTTGGCTGGATTGGTCTAAATTTTTGGAACAGATCTTGACCGAGTTTTTACACCGGTGGTCTACATGTTGTTTTAGACTAGTTCTAAAATGTTTTTTTTTCAAACCAGTATAATTTTCGATCTATTTTGAACTGGATTTTGATCGAGGCAAGCACTGTTCCAACCCAGTTTGACAGCTGTTCCACTCGAAGTTTTGTTTTGTTGTTTTGTGGTGTTGGGATTTTTTCAGTTAAGCAAATCTATTTATTTCCTCGATTTTCTCTTAAACGAGGCCGGTTCCATCAAAGTTGTCATCGCTAGTGAGCAACAATCGACTGCTGTTGATACTAGCGGAGTTCCAGCTCAATCGCGCTCTCGATGCTGCTGTTGCTTCCAGGACCATCGTCGCACCTTCAAAAGGATTACAGCCCTAATAAACCCGGATGGTAGAACTATCCCACAAATAGTTTGTATGATACCCAGAACACGTCCTTATGCTCTTTCTTATGGTTATTTGTATTAGAGAAGGGAAGGATCAGGCATTGAGCATCATGCTTGGCATACACAGTTTTGGTCACGAACTGCTCATTTGCTAATAACTTTACACAGAGTTGACGAAACATCGTTCTTTTTGAAGCACTAGATATAATAGAGTTTAAGCTTGTTATAGATATATAAAACAAAGTAGGTTTTAATTCTAGTAATAAACTGTTTTTTGCGTTGTAAAAATGAAGTGAGAAATGCTCGCTGCACATCTCGGACTTTAAGAGTAAAAATTCATTGGTGTTGATTCAAATATTAAGATGTATCTACTTTTTACATATCTACAGTAAGCTATGATCCTAATCTATAAATTACTTTAAAGAAAAACAAATTTCAACAACTGAGTGAAAAGTTATTAACAAATGAGCAGTTGGTGAGTACAACTGTGTATGCCAAGCATGTTGAGCATCCGGATTATCTGAAGGAAATTTCATTGAACGCTTCTGTTCTGCTGTTGTTTTCTTACAAAGAAGGTTACATACCCTAGTAACCATAGACACGTTATATCACTTTTTTGGCTCTATACGGGCCTCATCAGAGCTTACAAACACTGATATAGCCATTGTTCAGCTGTATACAGCCAAAAAGGCGAAATAACGTGCCTATGAATACTTGGGTGTTTCACTTGGACAACCGAATTTCGATCCAAGGTCCAGAGGGCCGAATGTTTAATACCGATTGACTCAGCTCGACGATATCGGAAATGTGATCCGTTGAACGCTATTGAATACTTTTGAATTCGGTCAACCGGTTCTGGAGGTTGCAAACCCATCATGCGACACCTCAAATCACATGATAAGTCAAAAACAAGATCAATGGTATTCAAATAAAGTACCCAGAACCACCTTGGCTACTTTCTTGCATGTGCTGGGGTCCCCAGGGAAGTGGCTAGTTTCTTACATGGCCCAAAACCTATGATATGATACATCAAATCTCATAGAAATTCAAAATCCAGATCAATTTAAATCAAATATTGTGCCCATTTGCTACCTCCGGGCATAATGAGGGTACCACGAGCAAAGTGATCAGTTTCTGACTTCGATCAAAACCCAACACGGGAGAAAATTTTGCAATAAAATTAATTTTATATTTAAAAAAAAAAAGGTTGAGATCTCACCATGCAGGTTTTTATAATTATTTCACTGGAAAGCACGTTTCGAAAGAACGAGCGGTTCAAGGCTTTTTGTTAAACCCACACATCTCTCCCGAAGACGGCCATCGGAGGTCAATTTCGCGGAAAATGACCGGATAACAACCGTGTACGAACGCGCGCGAGATTAAAAAATGGCTAACCATGAAATGTACTCAAAAGTAAGTTCTTTTCCCTCATCTCGGCACTATAGTTCAGGAACCCAAAAGTAGGTAAAGCGGGCCAAAGTAGTTTTCATTTACTTGTGTGCAATTCGTATGGAATTTTCCATTAGCTTTCTACCCAAAAGTAAGTTAGTTGTACTCAAAAGTAGGTAAATATAGGGGAAATTTTCCCCTACACGATGATGGTGTTCGTTTGCGTGGTTGGCCTTTGCTTTATGCGGAAAGGGCTTTCGAACGGTGTCGCCGATACCCCTCGTTGCGGCGAATTGGTGGTGAACCAATTGACTGAACCCTCGCGAGCGAAACACCGTTGTCGGGCGAAGTGAACGATAGAAGTAAACAAACAGAACAATACGAGGCGAGTTAGTCAGCAAAATTGAAGAAAACTTGATAGTGCAGTGAGATAAAATCGAGACGTTTTTCGTAAGTTTAAGTAAATTCCAAATTTCGAAGACATTGATTAAACAACGTTTATTATAGCCACCTAAACGGTTTATTCAACCCTTGCTGAATTTGCCACGTAGTAAGTGGTAACTTAGATATTATTGAGGTATGTTTTCCCTGAAATCATAAACATAACACTTACCTTTGATTTGTCGCGTAACCTAAAAAGGACCTAAAATACTTACCCTTGATTGTACTTACTATTAGATTGAACTGGAATCGTCCTTCCATGGCAAACGTTGACCTGAAATAATCTGTAAAAGAACACTGAAAATGTAAGATAATTATTATATAATTACCTTTGTATCACCACTAACATAACGTAATAAATTACAGCTTTGAAGCTGCTGAGTACGCAACTAGAAGAACGGTGTTAGTTCCGACTTACGGGAACATTTCTTCAAAGATTTTCATCCTGAGTCGGATGATTGTTGCCCATCGGAGGAAGGACATTCCGCAACAGTAGACGGCCCACTGTTGAAGACAACTAGCCACAACGAGTTTGGACTTGGAGTGCAGCATAGAGTGCGGGCAGTGCAAATAAAGTCGGTATCTGTATTTGATTCTGTCACCGTCGCCGGTCGCGAGCTTTGCTGTTAGTTGTAGCGAGTCGTCAGGGAAGTCTTGAAAAGCTTAGGATAGTTAGGTCGATCTCGAGATG